ACTCTTTCAGAGTATCCTGTTTGGTGTGAACTACCGTCAGCCGAGGTTTTATTTGTGCTGTTGTTTTTAGAAGTGCTTACTGCAAACTCATATTTTTATCCTTAAAAGAAACCCTGAAAATTATGAAACTCTGAGAAGTCCATCTGAATTGCACAGACTCTCTGCTAGTTCACTGTTAAACACTTCTTATAACAGCAGAACACGTGAATTGGCAAGGGTTTTTTTTCTGATGTGTAATTCATTATGCTACTGTGTGCTCTAATTGGAGAGGCCATTTAATTTGGTCTCATTGGGTACTCATTATAAGGTGATCCATTATTACCAAAATGATGGGTTTCAGGTTGCTAGAGAACTTCTTTACAGAGTGGCAGGAAATCCAAATTCAAACACTGGACTCCTTTACACCTCTTAATGGACTTAGTAGTTTAATACTGTTTCTCAAAAATCTGACAGTCTGATTCAGAAAGCATTCTGGAAAATACTTTAATTCAGTTTTACAGATCTACACATCATCTGAAGTGTGTAAAATTGATTTGAAAGTATAAATCCAGTTGGTTTGCAGTTGGACACATGCTCTTAAATTTGGGCTTTTAATTTTTTTACCCCACACCAGGTTTCTGTTGGTAAACAAAAGTAATGCATATTCTAATGAAATTATTTATTCCTTTTCAGTTTGTGAAATGTGGCTATGCAGGCTCAAATTTTCCAGAGCACATTTTCCCAGCTTTGGTTGGAAGACCCATTATAAGATCAACTGCTAAAGTGGGAAACATTGAAATCAAGGTAAATTTTTTTCATTATTATTCCTTTCTGATGGATAAAAATAATTAGGGCAGCTTTTGACTTACGTAATGTTTGGAAATGCTTTTTCCTTAATTCCCCTTTATGCTGTTGCAGTATCTCTTGCTTCATTTCTGTATTGGGTTTTATCCTGTCACAAACTACAAAGTTACTAAGGAGGGTAATCTAAAGCACTGGAGGCCTTCAGATAGCACAGTGGAGGAGGCAGCAGGTAGGGCTCAAGTGGTTCTGGGCAAAAAGGGGCTTCTGATGCCAATATGTAAATGATGTCAAGATCAGAAGGCAGAAATAGGGCAGAAGTCACTAATGTTTGTCACTGAGCTGTGCTGAAGAACTGGTGGAGCTTTCAGGTCTTTCTATACTGCTTGCTTTCTACTCACAGTTGATCATCTGTGATCTTGTACGAGATGATTAACCTTGGTTGTGTTTGCGTTTCATTGTTTCTATTGGTTTTGTTTTCTTTTGTTTTTGCTGTTGATAGATGTGGGTACTCCACCCCAGTTAGAGATGGAGAGGCTGTGTTCAGGCTACTTCATCTTGGGAGGTTGCTTCAAGCTTGGAATGGGGGTGGGGAACACTGTGAGGATCTTTTTCTGAAGTCTGGGGAACTATTTCTCACTTTATTTTGTATTTACAGAGTAACACTTCAAATGTTAGTAGTTGCTTCTGCAGTGCAGACTTCAGTAAGTGTCTTGGCCCTGCTGTGTCACATCCTCACTTCTTGCTTCTAGCCACACATTCTCATCTTGTGCTGGTTGTACTGCTTGTGCAGTCATGTGGTGAGCCACTTTAGTGAGCTGATCCAGCTGAAAAAGAGTGATTTTTTTTTTTTTTTTTTTGTCAGGTAAAGTTTTGACTGCCTTACTAGACAGTTGTGGAAGCACCAGTTTGAGAGCGAGGCAGAAGCAGGAACTTGAGGGAGAAGCGGGAGGCAACACAGAACTGTAGAAGCCCTCACTTAGGCCAGTAAAGGTCAAGTAGAACCACATATGTACAGGCTTTCAATTTTGCTTTCCTTGTTGCTTCTGAGCAGCAGCTTAGTAAAAGGGAAAGAAAAAAATCTGCCCAGTCGTGTTCCTTATTTTCGGAACCCTATGGGTGACAAGAACTTCAGTTACCTGATTTCTGCTGCTGCCTGTAAAAAGTTACTAGTATCAGCAGAAGGCCATACTTGCAAGTCAAGAGGATGAAAGACATCGGACCTTTCCAAAATGTGCTTTTTTTTTTTTTAAATATTGCAATACCACTTACCTTGTGTCAGCTAGGACAATTTGGTTGAAAGGTTGGGGATCTTTCCCTTTCACAGTAGACAGGAGCTTTTGTAAGGAGGGGGAAGACATCTTTCTTTCTCTTGCAAGAGAGTTGGGGAGAGGTGTTTCTTCAGATATCTACTTGAACTTAATGTGACAAGGAGGACCTTCAAGGAGGTCCTGGTAAAGTTTTAGGAAAGTTATGCAGTGATTTACAAGTCTTAAGTCCAACAAAAATTCTCTTGCATGAAATTTCATTGTTGAAGTCATGGGTTTTTTCCAGCTGATCTGATACAGCCTGTCCTGCCAGTTCTGGTATCCTCTGATTATCTGATAACTTAGCTTGATATTGTTACAGATGTGGTGTTGAATTGGAAAGACAGGAGGTAAAGTGGGTAATTGCTATGAGATCAGTGTGAAAGAACCAGTAAACTACAATTCTGCGTGCATTGCCTGTCTTCTGCTTGAGCATGGATCACATGGGTGTATTTTAGAGAGTATAAACTGTGTCTAGATTCTTCCTAGAAGTTTTACAGCATCTGTGTATAATAGCTTGTCGCTCTTTCTTAAGGAAACAGTGTATCAAGAGAAGAAATCCCTGCCACAGATACTTTGGGTAGCCCAGTAGGATAATACAGTAGGAAGACTTGTTAAGTGTGAGTGCTGTTTTCCTTTGTGAGATTCTTGCAGATTTCCTAAAAAAAATGTATTTCAGTAGATGGGTTTTATGCCAAAATTTAATTCTAGCCATTCACTGCAAGTTCTTACAGGATAAGTTTAAAACTGAGTAAAGGAAGCTGGCAAGAAGATTATCAGTTTAACTTTTCAAAACTATTCAGAAAAGCTGTCATTCCTGTGAAACTCAAACTCTGTAAAAAGAGTATGGAAGCTGATCAAAACTGGTTATCATCCATCTCTGGAGTTAGTGATTTCAAGTTGCTTTGTCCATGCTTTCCTTCTGGATTCTCATTTCAGCCAGCAGCAGGGATGTAGCTTTTTCTTCTACTCAGAGTTCCCAGCTCAGGACATAAACACAAAAGTTCAGTTATTACTGGGATTATTTTGCTTACAATTGCAACCTTAAAACTCTCAAACCAGAAGCAAAGATGATGCTCTTAGTTTCCTCTGACTAATCTTTGAAGCAGGTTTGGGGGTTAATAACCTTCTTAGGAAGGCAGGGTAGCTTTGACTAGTTAAAACAATTAGGATTTTAGGGCAGATCAGAACCAGTGACTTGCTGAGCCTTAGTTCACGTTCATGTCCATGTCCTACAGTTCTGCTCACTTTCTGCCAGAAACAGCCTGGAGAAGGTCATCCTCTGGGTTTGAAGTGAGGAAAGGGGCCACGTTCTGACCAGCCTTGTTGGTACTGCCTGTCCAAAGGCAGCTGCCAGAAACTCTGAGCACTTTTCCTCTGACACCATTTGCAGAATAAGTAGATTTGCCTTAATGATGCTGATAGTTACCCTATGGCTTTTGACAGTTTAGGTGACTCAAAGTCAATTTAATCAAAGGAGGAAAGATTCTAATAGTTGTGAAAATGGTTTTAGTATAATTTTGGACAATGTTTGTACACATACAATTTTGAATGATGTTTGTACACATACACTTCAAACTTCTCATCATGCTTCCTGGCTGCTTTAATTATCTTA